TTTTGCTCGAATATTCTGTAATTTATCCGCACATTTAGTGTAATTTAGAGTAGTATTTCACTGAATTTATCTATTGTTCAATTTTATAGATAGTAAACAAAATTATTTTATTTTTAATTAGTAGAACTAAAAAATAATAGTTTATCTTGATTAAATAACTTTGAAAATAATTATTCGTTATTCATGCATCATTTGCACATATAAGAATGAAAATATTTTTATGATAGTGAAAGGACATTTTTCGAATAAATAAAAATAATAAATTTTTAAATAAAAAAATCATTAAATTAAAATAAAATAAAAAAATATTAGATACATGTTGATACATACTTGTTAATATCAATTATAGTTTTAAAAACAATTAAGCTAAACTCGGGTATTGTCTGTTCCGAGCAATTTTAATTAATTTAAACATTCTAATTGTTTTTTTGTTTAATAAAATATGATTTCGAAAAACTGAGAACATTGGTCAAATTGCTACTTAGACGTGTCCTTTGTTTATTCACAAAATTTCCTGAAATAGAAAATACTCTCATACTAGCGACCAAATTATGCTTAATTGTTTTTAAAGCCTGATATAATAATTCTAAGTTTTTTGTTCTTTATTTTGTGGCTTCTAGGGTTTAAAACTCTTTTTTTTAGTTAGAGTAGAGGAAGTTACTTCTTCAAGAAGAAGTCACACTGATTTAAGTTAATATATACACTGATATAAAAAATCTAAATTAATATATACAAAACCTTTCTGGGAACCATTGCAGACTGATAAGATATGAAATGCTATTAAACCGATATGATTTCAAGAATCAAAACGCTTTGATCTATATTTTATATTTGGTCATATTTGTCATTTTCCACATATACAGTAAAAACCGACTTTTTTTCGCTAAAAAACCGGTTTTCGAATCCCATAATTTTCGCCAAAAAAAAAAACGGTTTTTAAAACCGACAAACCCTAGATAATACCAATATTATTATAAAAGAAGAAAATAAAGTACATTATCCAACCTACTCCTGGAGATTCCTCAATTGGTGAATAAATAAATGATTGTTTCATCCTTACCTTATGTTGGCAGCCAGGTATGCAGCAGGTTGACGGCGTATTAGGACATTTCCTGCAAGGATCGGTGCATGAGGGGCGGCTTCTATGGTCGAAAATTTTTCTTATACTGTCGACCCTATCGCACCTGAATTGCGGGATTTTTACAATGTACCACTCAAAAAGGAGGCAGGGGGCAGGATGCAGAATGCAGAAGGCATTTTAAAAAATCCCATAAGCTAAATTTGTAACTATTATCTTGAATGGTAGTTATCTTTTGTATAAGATCAAACGCGTAAAGTTATTAAGTAGTTAAATTATGTTTGAAATTATCGCACCTATGGATTTTTAAAATTGATTCAAATATTTAAAAAAATTAAAATTGTAGCTGAATTATGTCAGTGTGCGCAAGGTTTCTAGGATTATACAAAAAAATTATTCAATGCTCACGCTTTTGCGCAGGATGGTTTCTTATCACACGACTTGTCTGAACACATAGATTGTTTTGAACATGCACTCTTCGGACCAGGACACTGCGGCTTGGGGCAAGGTGGCGGACACTTTGGCGGACATGGCGGCGGACACTGAGGTGGACATGGTGAGCACACTCTTTTCGGGCCACATGGTTTTGGCGGACACGGTGGTGGACATGGCGGCGGGCACTGAGGCGGAGGACAAGGCGGCGGTCCACACGGCGAACAATTTCTCTTCGGCGGACACGAAGGACATGACTTCTTTTGCGGAGGACACGGCGAACAGGACCTTTTCGGCGGTGGGCATGGCGGAGGACAAGGTGGCGGCGGACAGGGTGAACACGTACGTTTCGGCGGTATTGGGCATGGTGAACACTTAGGACCACATGGCTTTGGCGGTGGTGGACAGCACGGTGAACATTTTGGCTGGCATGGTTTGGGCGGCGGGCATGGCGGCGGACATGGTGAGCACGTTCTCTTCGGAGGACAAGGCGAGCATGTGACTCGCGGCTTTGGTTGTGGGCACGGCGGTGGGCATGGAGAACATGAGCGTTTTGGTCCACAAGGCTTTGGACACGGCATGCACGGCTTGCGAGGTGGACAGGGTGGCGGACATGGCGGTGGACACGGAGGTGGACACATCGAACATGACTTTTTCGGTGGACACGGCGGCGGACATGGCGGACAGGGCGAAGACTTTCTTGGCGGACAAATCATTATCGATCCTGTAGACGTGCACGATATCGTTGGCACTGGACAAGGTGGCCTGCGCGGCTTGTTGCACATCTTCTTCGGTGGACAGACCTGCGTCGAAGAGAGAAAAAACATTAGTACGCAAGGCAATCAGGGGAAAAAACGATCGTATGGATTGGTTTTATTACATCTAAGTTTGTACGTTTCGTTCTATGCCGTATAGATCTAGGAACGCTGCAGCAACCGCAGTAACTCCACATATTACTCTTTTCGCATTTGACTCGACTGCGAACTGATTGGCAATCTTCATCGGAACAGCACGAATCAGAGCAGTTAGAAGGACAGCAACTGTTTGATGTGCTAAGCGACAAAATAATGATAATGTAATCGCGAATTGAGGTAAATTGGAGATTGGATGAAATAGGAGAAGAAGGACGCAGGTCTGTCATGAAAGTTTGGGTAATTTAGGAAGATGTAATGAAATAGAAGAAAACGGTGAAACGGTACCTGTGATGAATATTTTTGGATCACACAAGTCAAATTAAAATATTACTTTAAAAAACTATTGCATTCATTCCCGGATTAAATTCTTCATAAATGTGAATAATTTCTTCATATCCATTTTTGTAATCCGATTTTTAATGATTTCCATTTTGTATCCTGCGTCCCTCTTTTCGATGATAAATATAATTATTTGCAAATAATTTAGAATCCCATTGATAAATCATTTTAAATAATCAAATTTGAATGATATGTACGTTATTGCGCAACAGCTGGTCGAAGCGCTGCTGCATTGAGGGACGCAGCTGACGGATTTGCTCATTCCTCTCCGGCGTGGTCTGTAAAGACACAAACATTCAAATCCTTATGTTTTTAAATTTTCTTCTTCTTATATCCGGTGACTGGAGTTTTGTTTCTTCTGATTTGTCTTTACAATAAAATTAATACTAGTAGTCCCCGAAATCAGTGTAGTATAGTTTCATGACAACCTGCGCCCCCTGCCTATTTGATCTTTAGAAAAAATTTAAAGGGCAATAACTTCTTGGTATTAAATTGGATTATAGTCTGAGTTTTTTAAATAAGGCAAAACCCAAGGTGCGTTAGGGTGCAGCATAACAAAAATTTTCGTTTAGATCATCAATATATTAGTTGAAAACTCACCTAAATGAAATTTGATTGTACACATAAATAGGTAAATTTCCAACGTAATACATAGTCGATAAGGTGTCAAAATCAGTTCATCAGTATTAATTTAAAATATTCGAATATTAGTGCAGTTAACGGAGAGGAAAAAAGGGTATAATCTTATTTTTTTACTGCACTCCGAATTGCATGAAATTTTGGAATTAGATTCATCTTACCCTCAAGTTTAAAAGTGAAAACAATTTGGGATGCGTCATCACCCCCCGGGGGGATGACACCCCTTCTCAATTGTGTAATTATATTTTTTCAAAATAACGTCGGAAATTGATAGAAGAATCAATTATAAGAAAAAAATGTCTTTTATAGTATTTCAAAAAACTTATACTTTTCAAGTTAATTTTGGCGTTTTTCTTCGTTTTTTTGCAAATATCTCTAATGTCAATAAAAATCTTAATAAATCTGTATTACATAAAGTGTTCTAGAAAATTATTAAGCAAGTTTTGAAAGAGCAAAGTCGTTTTTTATTTTGTTCAAGATTTAATTATTGTATTTAAAGCCATCTAGTGTCGAGGTTTTACATTTTATGCATTTCGGTGAAATTGCAAAATAGTTTAGTACAAACTATTTTCAGAAAACTGACGATTTTATAAAAACTTTTTTTTCCATTTTTTTTTAGAATCGAAATTATTTTCATTATATCTCAAAAAGAATAAAAGATACGTATAAAAGCATATAGATCAAAATCAAAGTGATCTTTTTGGCTTATTATTGTTTTTTATTATTTTTCTTTCACACAAAAATTGACAGAGTTATGAATGTTTAAAGCCGCGCAAATTGGGAAAAAAAGTTTTCATAAAATCGTGAGTTCTCTGAAAATAGTTTGTACTAAAGTAGTGAATCTGCTAGAATCCATCAAGATGTTTATAATGAAGTGAATTCTAGATGGAATGTGAATAACTTTAATTCTGGTGGAAATGGCGATCATTATACCATATGATTTAAAAGAAAAAAACTTTGTATATGCTTCTTATTTTCATGATAGCTCACTCATTCTACACGCAAAAAACTTGTAACAGCACTCATTTTAAAGCTTATCTTGAGCACTATAAAACCAAGTTTCACCGAAAGGCATAAAATGTAAAACCTCGACACTAGATGGCTTTAAATACAACAATTAAATCTTGAACGAAATGAAAAACGACTTTGCTCTTTCAAATCTTGCTTAATATTTTTTCTAGAACACTTTATGTAATACCGATTTATTAAGATTTTTATTGACATTATTTTGTTCATTTCATGATTTTCGTTAGAATGTATATTTTAGGAGATATTTGCAAAAAAACGAAGAAAAAAGCCAAAAATATATGAATCTTTAGTGGCCAGTAACTTGAAAAGTATTAGTTTTTTTTGAAAAACTATATAAGACATTTTTTGCTTATAATTAGTTCTTCTATCGATTTCCGACGTTATTTTGAAAAAATATAATTACACAATTGAGAAGGCGGAGCCCAAATTGTTTTCACTTTTGAACTTGAGGGTAAGATGAACCTAATTCCAAAATTTCATTCACTTCGGAGCACAGTAAAAAAATTCAGAACCTAAACGCTCCGTTTACTGCACTGTATAGTTCTAACTTTGATACCATATCGACTGTTTTAGTAACAATCAAACAATGAAAATGAGCTCTCAGTCAATTTTCTAAATCGTTGTTGTGATTGTTTTTTTACAACACAGTACTTGGATGCTAACGATTCACTATCTCTCCTCTTGCGACAATCTTCTGCTCTGCGACGCTCGTTCTCTCTTTTCCATCTTTGGGCGTTTCTTTGCCTACGCTCCAACTCTTTCCTAGCCTGCTCCCGTTCCTTGCACTCCTTTCTTTGAAGTTCCATCATTTTGCGACATTGCTTACGTTGACGTTCTGCTTCTTTGCGCCTTGCTAATTCTTGGGCCCAAACCTGGGAAGAAATAGAAAATGATGTAACGACAAGTACTAGGGAATGCAATACCGGTTTACCGGTATACCGAATTACCGGTAAACCGCCCGATTTTTCGGCGGTATTGTTACCGGTATTTACCCCAAAAATACCGGTATTTTCGGTATTTTTACATAAGCGCTATTTGATACATAATACACTAAATTTTAAATTTCTCGGAACAAATTTATCTTTAAATCCTATAATCGCATAAACAGCTATATCTTCAAGTGATTCTATAGGATATAAATGTCAAATATTATCTCAACTCGTCATTAAGGGGCACAACTAGTGTAACCGCCTAAAAAAGGTGATTTTTGGGAATTTATATTACAAAAACTACTTTATCAATCATTTCAAAATTTTAGGAATATATTTATACATGTTTTAAGAATACATAGTAAAATTGTTGAAGAAAAAAATTAAATATTTTTCAAGTTATCGTCGATCTCCAACGGCGCAACAAAAAACGCCCTTAACTGCTGCAGTGATTCCGGCCCTTGACGTGGATGAAATCAAAAAAAAAATTCTCGTTAAACTAGATAATATTGTCTGTAAAGTGAACTACGATGAAAAAAAATAATCAAAAATTGACAAAATGACGGCGTTTTTTTAAAAAAAACTCGAATTTTACCCAAAATTTTGGTCGTTTTTCGACCGCCAAAATTCTATTTTTGATCCGATCAAAAAATCGATTGTTCACTTTACGGAGAACTATATATAGAACATGTAAAAAAAAATTTGATAGTTCGGATCATTAGTTTTTGAGTAATCATTGCAGCAAATTCGGAAAATGCTGTTTCGAGAAAAACGCGTTTAAAGATAAAATGATCGTTATACTATATACTATATGTATACTTTTTAAATGGCTGTAACTCAAAAACTATTTGAGATATCGATTTGAAATTTTAATATGTTATTTTTAAGGGTGTAATCTACCGAAATATGAAAAAAACAAAAATCGATTTTTTCAAAATTTCACACTAGTTGTGCCCCTTAAACTGAATATTTATTGCTTTACTAAGGGTTTCATATCGTGTTACAATAAATAGAATTGGACTGATAGATAATGATGTTTGTTTCGTCTTATGTAAAAATGTAACGGTTTTTTAAGTGATTTTTGCGCTAAAATATTTCATATCATACATATTATCCCTGCGTAATCTTTATTTTTTTCTAACTTTATACATAATAATTATGATAACTACCAAATATTTTTGCTTCTTCTTACCTTTATAAAATATTATTTTTCTACAACGTTTCGAAGTTTGGAAATACTATAGAATCATCACATTGTTTTAAATAACAATACTCAACAATTATAGTAACTTATTATTTATCTCGACAAAGTATCCGATCTTAAATTAGTGCAGAAAGATTATTTTTTTTAAATATTGGAGATTATGCTAATTTAACACATCGAATACAGACAGTGCAGACTATTATAATAAAATAATATGATCTTTTATGAGTTTTTGGTCTTTCTTACTCATAAGTTTGTTTTTGGTAAAAAGTACTCAATAGACTCGATAGTGATAATGAATTAATTAAATTGGATATAACTTTGTTAAATTATTATTAAAAAAAATAAACTTATTGATTTTATTGTTTAGTTGAATATATTTGTAGTTGTATATTCATTTCTTTATATTTGTACTAGTAACTTTCAATTTTGTTTACGTTTGTTTAAGAAAATAAAAATACCGGTATTCCGGTTTTAAAATGAAAAATTACCGAAATACCGGTATTGAAATTTTCCTTCGGTATTGCATTCCCTAACAAGTACTAGATTATTATTAAAGTTAGATTGAAGGAAGATTTTTTACTCTCTGTAAAGGGTCGATCTGTTGTGAAGGGCACGGATTGCATTCTGGTTCGCAGCAGGATTCTTCGTCGGAGCAAGGCGGAGGTGGTTTTTTGCAGCACGGTTTGGGTTTGGGGCACGGCTTTGGGCATGGATCCTTCTTTTTGCAGCAGGGGTCATCGCAACATGGATCGGAACAACAAGATGATGATGGAGCACAAACTCTGATATCGCGACCGCCACCGCAACGGCTTTCGTTAGCAGCTCTAGAAATAAAAGATAATTTTCTAAACGGCTGCACTATGTTATATATAAAAACTAGCAAACCCGACGAACTTCGTTTCGCCACCAGATGGTTTCGCGAGAAAGATGAAGAATTTTTTTGTTTGTATTAAATTTGAAAAGGTAGAATTTTATTTTATTACACAACAGTAATGAATTTATTTCGATTATAAAAATTAAGTGTTTTTTAGTTGAACTTCTCTAAGTAAATGAAAGTGAATCCGCAAATTATCCGTTTCATTGAAGTGCTCTTTGGTAAACCACATTTTTTGTTTTTTGGTCTGACATTAACACAAACAAAGCGGATGGTTTTCCAACTTGTAAACAAGCAACGTATAACTGCTCATGTGAAAAACAGTGATTTTCTAAATAATCTATTTGAAATTTATCCCGCAAACACTAAGCGATTGGCCTTGCGACTTGTTATTGCGAACGCAAGACGAACCGGAAATTGCAATCGTTTGAAATCAAACGGAAGACCAGTCGGAATAATCGGTATGTCACCAAATCGCCAGCAATTTTTGATTGAATGGTGAAATTCAGTGCGTGTACATCATTATTCTTTGCGGCAAGAATTGCTCGTTGACTTAACCAAGCATAATTCTGATAATTCTCACTAATGTCATTACTCGAATTTTTAATTACGGTGCGTGAAGTTCCAGCAATTTGCATTAAGGCACGATGCTATGCACCACTAATTTTCTTAACTATAACACACACTTGCGGAGCTCGAGACCTTTCCAACGAATGCAAAATTGTCGAAATCGGTTCCTGCGTTCTGGAGTTATATCGTCAGGAAGGAAACCTGACTTATTTTTATATATATGTAAATGAACATAACTCAACAACGCCTGGACCAATTTGGCCTTTTTGCATTGAAAACAAATGAAAACTATCATTTGCCAAAAATTTCAATTTACTTATGTACCTAGATAATATTAGAATATGTATAATCAAAATATGATTATGAATAAGAAAAATGAAATGTCTACATTATTACTGCCAAAAAGTAGCTGAGATGTGCCAGAAATTAAAATAATATTGATTGAATGATACACATACAAACAGGATATGACAAATTAATTCATTTAAAATATGAAATTAAGTATTAATCAGGGCCGGTCCTACCTTAAATGCAATGCATGCGAAAAATACGAGCGCACGCCTTAGAGGGCACCAACACAAGATTCGGATATTAAATTTTCAATATTGTTTTGTTTTCAATATATAATTTTTTTGCATCTCTTACTAATCTTTCCACAATATTTTTAAAATTACTAAAAATTTCACTTTATAACAACTAATGGGAAAGTAAAGATGAATACACACAACTCGGTCCTCACGATATCGTTTAGGAGAAGTTTAAGATGCAATTTTGGATATCTTAAATGATAAAAATTAAATTAATTTTCTCCTACATGAAGTACCAGTGTAATGTTATGGTTATGGTTATGTTATACCGTTTAAAAGACTTCAAGTTTCAATATTAATGTGGGAATTGAGACTCATCATTTTATTTAAAGCAGTTCTACATTTAACATCGCTTATAATATGAATGTATATGCATTTTAGCGTGAAGAAAAATTTAAAAAACAATAATTATTATTTTTAGGTAAACAGTAAATATTGGTATCATGTATTAAAAAATTGTGGACATGGGAACAGGACAACGTCTGTCGGATCATCTAGTTATAAATATTTTTGCTTGAATTAGTTAGTTTCGTAAATTGACAAATTTATTACCCCACATTGCTCATCCTCTTCTCGGCTTTGCGCCTGTCCCTTCCACTACTGCTTTTATAAACCTGCTGATCATCCGACAATGGATTGACCTGTATTCAAAACAAATCCATTACACCAATTCAAATGCGTACATACAAATCAATTAAAATAAAACAAATATTTCTACTTCTACCTGGGATGGAACAACAGCCATGAGTTCCTCGGACGATACATACGGATATTTTTCCTGAACGCTCGATTCCGTACTGGATTGTGTAGGAGAAGTTATAAGAACTGTCTCACTAAAATCTCGAGGAGGAACGCATTTGCCTCTATTGGGATTACTGCCAGAAGCTCTAAGACGTTGTGATGGTGATGATTCTAGAAATTCAAATCATTAGTCAAACGATATGGGTTTTATATGATGTTAATTCATTAAACCTGCACGCTTTGTTTTATCTTTGATCTTGTGTGTCGATGCAACAATGTCAGCACTTCTCGACTTTTTGGCTTTTAGTTTGGCAACACAAAAAGCACACGCTTTCTGGAAATAAAAATACAACATATATGACCAGGATCTCACTCTTGGGTTACGATTTTGTTACATATTATTTCTAGAACTCCAATTATATATGAAAATATAGTTCACTAATACCTCTTGATCGAGTGGACGCTTGACAGCTGAAAAATTTGCCATGTACTCTGTTAGATATGGGTCAAACCATTTTGCCAATTTGGAACACGTGCACTTAGACGGTACCTTTTCTTGAATTCTCGTATCTACAAATCATCAAACACATAATCTTAGATCTTTATCATGATAATAATTTGTTGATTACAATAAAAATGTGTGGTTCTCTAATACCTTAAACAAGTGTAACGAGTTGCCTTCAATTGTTAAGACGATATATTTCAAATTTTTATTATTTACTAGCTGACCCGGCAAATATTGTTTTGCTAAGTAGGGTATATTCTAAACAATTTCTAGAGGATCAAAAACATTAATACTTTAAGTGTACAAGGATGTGTTGTTTGAATGCTATACACAATGAGGTATTATAAAAACAATAAATCCCATTAGTTTGTCTATATTTTGTCAATACAATCAAACTGGAAGTTTTATACACTTTCTATAGAAAACATGGTATAATCCAATCCAAATCTTCTTTCTTATTTCGACACATTGATAACGTTTCAAGTTTTTCAGATTCTTTTTGGATTCTGAATTTTGTGTATAATTGTAATTAATACTACTGAGCTTATAAAAAAATTCAAATTTCTGCGAGAAGAGATAGAAAATGAAATGAATATTTCTTCTTTGACCTTTTTACTCTATAGGCGGGGTAACTTGGAACGGCGAGGTGGCAAACAGGTTTAATGTCTTATTTTAATTTTAAAGGTATTTTACAAAATAATTACATTTTTAGCTAATGCCAAAAAACTACCAACGGAAGAAAATAATTTTATTATGGATTTTCAAAGATTACCGTTTATCTCCCGATAGCAAATTCATAAGAATCAAGGTTATAGCTGGTTATATCTTTTCCCCTCTACTTTCAAATATTGTTGTTAAACAATGCTTAACTTTACTGGTTTTTGACATATCGGTGGTGGATCTTTTTAACCCCGGACCTTCATATATTACTATCTATTTATCGATAAGTTCTGGGAAACTATAACTGGGAAAATGTTATTCGCAAAATGTTCCTTTGATCGATACCAAAATTAGGTTCTGAATTTAAATAACACAAATAAAAACAAATATAACCTAAAAATTTTTTTATAAATACCAATGAGTATATGATTATACAAATGAGATCTTTCAGAGCACCGTGTTTGAGAAAAATATGCCAAAAAGTACATGTTTATATTAACATTTAAAAAAAGTTGATATTTTGAGTTTCTGTCAACACTTGCGGCCCGTTTACTAATGTTTTTTTATATAAATAAAACTACAAACAAAACTACTTACTACAATTTAATCATAATTAAATAATATTCACGTAAAACATCCTATTAAGCGTAATTGAACATCATCTGTCAAATACGTTTGACATTTGACGTATTACCCACCGTCCATTGTTTTATTTAAATTACGCTTTTCAAAAATTTTCAAATTAAAAATGTAAAGTTTTTACGCGATTTTGAAATAATATCTCACCTTTCCGACAACCTACTGATTAGCACGAATTTTTCAAGACTAAGACTGGCCAAATCGGTTTAGCCGTTTTCGAGTTTTAGCGGATCATTTTATCGAGAGCTCCATTTTTATATATAAGAAGATTATTACCCGAAAAGGATTTTTTGTCCGGAACAACATTTTTCGAGATCCTTCTCGAAGTCTTTGATTCCGTTTTTATGCTTTGTTTTTTCTGGACTACGCTTGTACTTTTCAATCGTCCACTACTTCGACGATCCTGTTGCCTCTGGGAAGAGGAGCGTTTCTTGCCATCTATGCGTTTGTAATCTTGATCATCACTACAAACAAATTAACACCGTTATTTTTAAAAATATTATAAAAATCATGATAAATTAGTACCTAAAATCGCTCGCGTTTTTATCACTTTTGGCAGTATTATCTGATTTGGCAGTATCGCTAAAATCATGATCTTCTTGGCTTCTTATCCTATCTCGGCCGGAACGCCCGGATGTTGTATGTGATCTGACTGATCGACTTCCCAAACTACCTCTGTTTAAAATAATAGTATTAAAGGGGTATTCTAGTATAGAAATTCAAAAAAATCGATTAATTTTATTTTATTTTTTCAAAGTTTAACTATCTGAGAATATGGGTACGAGAAGGTTTTTGAAAATTTGAATTATTTTCGGAGATATAGGCATTTTACTGACACGGTCTCCAAACTGGTTTGGAAGGGTCTAATCGGACAAAAGGCATTAGGGAGTCAGAGTTGAGAAACTCAGAACAATAATGAATCTCTGAACTCGTTGATTTGGATTTTCGCGCCGAAATATATTCATTCCCGATCTCGGGTATTTGAAAAGCAACATCTATTGCTGTTTGCATATTCAATAAAGGTTTTTTCCGATTTTAAAAATGATGACCCTTATGGTAATGCAAATTGGGCCAGAAACTCATTCATTTGCTGTAAGACGAGACAATGCCCGGAAAGAACGATCTGAAATACGTACATCCAACGCTTCAAAAGAGGCTAGAACTGCTCGATTTGAAGAGAGAAATGCAGAAAATTGTTTTTTTGAAGTAGAAGAAGATCCGATGCATGAAGCAGGAATCGCAGATTAAATAAAAGAAGTCATCATTTATGATTTGGACAGCAAAAATCTTCACGCAAAACTTTAAATGCATTTTTCTCAGAACAGACTTTTTCAGAACTGTTGATACGATTTCTCGAGTTCTACTCGACCGATTCACTTTAAATGTTCAGAGAGTCTTGTTTATAGACCTATCTGTAGCCGGAACTAGCATCATCCCCAAATTCCAATTTTTACTATATTTAAAAAATTCGAGAAATTAAAAAAAAACAGTGAAAAAGACACTTTTTTCAAACAGTCGCCAATTTGTAAAAAAAAAAAAAAATTATTCATCGCTAGTCAGCACGTTAGACAAAACTTATCGGCACATTCCGATACTAGAAATATTCTGTTATAAAAATAGTTATAAAAATTGTGAGAGTTAACGAGAGATTATTTGTTCCTAAGAGAAACTTTTCGTATTTTTTATTGTAAATATATGATATCATTTATATAATTCTATATAAGAAAGAATGTTTTTTGTTAAGTTTCTTGGAAATGCGTACAAGTTACCAATTAAATGAAATGCGTACAAGTTGCTAATCAAGCAAAGTACGTATAAGTTATCAATAATGCAAAATACGTGCAAGTTGACAATCACGTAAAATACGTACAAATTGCTAATAATGAACAATACGTGCAAGTTGCTATTTTTATTTAATTTTTGTAATATACTCTAAATCTACGATAAATAATAACTTAACTTGACCTGAAATCTTGCATCGAAACAGATCAAAAACATTTCTAGGCTTCTTAACTTTTAGGGGACATTAGCAAGTAAGCGTAACCTAGAATCTTGCATCGAAACAGGTCAAAAGCATCTCTCGGCTTTTTAACTTTTATGGGACATTAGCAAGTAAGCGTAACCTAATCGGGCTATTGCGACATTATTGTACTTTAATAATTCTTTTATTTCGGATGGCTAGGAGGGCTGAAATCATTTCAAGACTGAGGAGCCAATATTTTGAGACCGCCCACTTCATCAGCTGACAGTTTTTTTAAATTTTTAACTTTTTTTTTAAATTTTTGTATTGTATTTAAATAATATTAATAAAAAAGTGGTAAAAAATGGATAGTAAAAACATTCAGTGCTTTCTTTCACGACACTTTGAAAATGACCTAAAATTCATCGCTCTAGGCTATACACTAGAATACACCCTTGAATAATTGTCAACATTGTAGATTTGACAGAAAATAAATTTCTCATTACCTGGAACTGGTCGCTGTGGTCAATGCTAAACCCGTCGTATTATCATCCTCATCCTCGTCGGCTGCCTGAGTTGTCATTTCATCCTCAACCCGTGTAGTCTCACTCTCGGGCATATCCAAAATCTCATTTTTACTTTTGATTTTGGTTCCTGTCTGGTAGGCCACTGTTATTGTAGTAGGCAGTCCCTGTCGTTGCTGCTGCGGCAGTATGGCAAGTCGCCTGCGGTAATTGCTAGCAGATCCGTTGCGAAATGCGGAATTCCCCGAACCTCCTGATCCTGTTAGATGAGGTAGAAAAAGGCGGTTGAAGAACGAACTGTCCATTTGAGGCATTGGGTGGCGGCTGGGGCGACCGCTGCTTTTGCGATTGAACATCTGAAAAGAAAAAAAAATTAATAACAATTTAGAAAAAAGAGTGCGCGTAAGGTTCACACGCGATTGAATTAAAACTTATTTGCTACTGTACAAGATGGCATTTGAGTAAAAATAAATACATTACATAACAATTTTGAATAATGTTTCTTAGTAATATGGTAACACTCGTGATGCACACATTTATTAGTGTCAACCTTTATACACATTTATATACTGATAAATTATAAGCTATATATTTATAATAGCATTAAAAATATTAATAATATTCGAAAATAATAATGTAATTAAAGTCATATTTCAAATATGACATGACCGGTTTGTCGTTGTAATTAGCATTTAGAAATGAACCTTCATTAGATAAATGAAGTAATTGCTGATTAATAAATTCTATAATATTCATTCAATGGATTATTCAACGCCTAAACAAATATTGTTTTCACAACTTCACTCATCATGTAATAATTGTGTTTGAAGAACTTCTTGTAATTACAATTAACATACATTCATTGACTGCTTGTATTTTTTTTTACTTTTTCGCTGGGGATATAATCTCATTTTTTGAACAACTGTAATATCTGTTTTGCCTAAAAATATTTTCCATTTCAATAACTTCAAAGATTTATAGAAACTACGAATAATATAGAAATTGTTTTATTATTAACGTAATAGCAAAAAAATCGAAAATGAAAATTTTTATATATATTTACGTTTCAGAGGTTTCTGAATATTTTGACATACCTTAGAAAAAATGGATGTATGTGTGTGTGCGTGTGTGTGTGTTGAGATTCAAATTTTTGTCGACGATTTTGGTAACACGGATGAAGCGATTTGAATAATTCAAAAAACATTCGAATCGTATTGATAAGGAGACGTGCTGATTAGTTTTTGGCAAAGGCAGGTCTAGCCGTTCCGAAGATATGAGGCAAAAAGTGCCAAAAACGGTAACTCAGTTTTTAAGAGGACGGAGCGTCCGATTTGAATAATTTTAATTTCTATTTCGGGCAATTTTAATTAATTAATTTAAAAAATTCTAATTAGTTTTTTGTTTAACAAACTATTATTTAAAAAAACTAAGAATTTTTATCGATTTGTTACTTAGATGTGTCCTTTGTTTATTCACAAAATTTTCTGAAATAGAAACTACAATCTCTCACTTGCGAGCGAACTAGTCTTAATTGTTTTTGTAGCCGGATATAATAATGTTTTTGTTCTATTATTTGTGGCTTCTAGGGCTAAAAACTCTTTTTTTTGAAGTTTGATTAGAGAAAGTTTCTTCTTCATGAAGAAGTCACACTGATTTAAATTAATATATACACTGATATGAAAATCTAAATTAATATATACATTAGACAAAAGATTACAGAAAAACTTTCTGGGAACCATAACAGAGTGATGAGATTCCAAATGCTATTGAACCGATATGATTCCAAGAATCAAAACGCTTTCATCTATCTTTCATATTTGGCTATTTTTCATTTATACAGTGAAAACCGACTTTTTCTACTAAAAAACCGGTTTTCGAATTCCATAATTTTTGTCAAAAAACCGGTTTCTAAAACCGGCATACAACGTTGAGGCCTGCACGCATACAACGACATATGTCTATTCATATACGCGACGACTAATCACAATCCACCCGTATAGAAATGATATCACCGAGAGCGAATGACGAATCATTGGCACTCGACTCTTATCTTATCTTATCTGCCGTAACGCACTTGCGTTAAAGAAGTTTTACTTCAAAAGATAAATTAAAAAAATATTTTCACCATGATGGGTCCTTTTCTCTTGTGGCTTCCACCTGCTCCACTGGAACTACCACCTCCATGTTTGCGTTTGGATTGGTGTTGATTTTTTACCGATGGTGGTGCCCGACGCCATTTCACTTCTGCTGTTTCTTGCTGATCGTAGTATGGAACTTGTCTGAGAAGATCGTCATGATCGCGTCTTCGTTCATGAGGTTTGCGCCTGTGAAAATAAAAGATGTAAAGTTTTGTTTTGGTTGAGTGTAACGTGTGTGTACCATAGATAAATAAGTATAAATAGATGGCAAACACGGCCGCTTTGATGTTACATCAAATGTAATTCTTTCAGCATTCAATAGATGTCGCCACCAACTGTAGTCCGTAAATTTACCATTAGGTTCAATTCTAGATAAGATTTATTTGAATATGTAATATAGAAAAGATACTCCTGATTAATTTGACTAAATGAAATTAGAACAAAATATACGCGTATCAAATATATTTTCAACAAAATCACAAATGTAAAAAATATATGATGAGAAAAAATTATACATTGTTTTCATTCAATAAAGATATATTTCAATAAATAAAATTGGTACTTCAACTTCTCCTATATTGCGTGACAAAAAAAGAGGAAAGAAAAATTTTCCTCGAAAACGGTATTTTAACGTTTAAAGTACGTGTACTACATCTAGAGAGATTCTTTAAGGGGCACAACTAGTGTAACCGCCTAAAAAAAGGTGATTTTTGGAATCTATATTAAAAAAACTACTTTATCAATCATTTCAAAATTTTAGGAATATATTTATATATGTTTTAAGAATACATAGTAAAATTATTGAAGAAAAAAATTAAATATTTTTTAAGTTATCGTCGATCTCCAACGGCGCGACAAAAAAAGACCCTTAACTGCTGCAGTGATTCCGGCCTTGTACGTGGATGAAATTTAAAAAAAAAATTCTCGTTAAACTAGATAATATTGTCTGTAAAATGAACTACGATAAAGACAAAAAATCAAAAATTGACAAAATGACGGCTTTTTTTAAAAAAAATCGAATTTTACCCAAAATTTTGGTCGTTTTTGGACTGCCAAAATTCGACTTTTGATCCGATCAAAAAATCGATAGTTCATTTTACGAAGAACTATATATAGAACATGTAAAAAAATTAGTGATAGTGATCGGATTATTTGTTTTTGAGTAATCGCTGCAGCAAATTCTGAAAATGCTGTTTCGAGAAAAACGCGTTTAAAGATTAAATGATCGTTATACTATATACTATATATATATATACTCTTTAAATGGCTGAGACTCAAAAACTATTCAAGATATCGATTTAAAATTTTGGTATGTTATTTTTAAATAAATAACCTATCGAAATATGGAAAAATTGAAAATTCTATTTTTTGAAAATTTCACACTAGTTGTGCCCCTTGAATTGTGTATGCTGAATTTGAAGCACACTAGCACCATCTGTTATATGCTGAAAAAACTCGTACCGTGTAACGCGTATTAGTTGTATGTTTGCCCCCCAGGTGTGTACCTTTGTCTGCTCCTGTTGCTATTAGCAGTGTTTGTTCTTTTCCTCGTAAACAGGGTCCATATATCATTAGCGCCTCCTGTACCGCCGTCGCTTACGGCTGGGCCGTTTGCATTGCTGCTATTTCTCGGACGACGATTAGAAGTTCCTCCTCCTATTCCACTCGAGTTGCCAGGTCCGCCTTGAGAGTTATTGTTGCCTTTGCTGGTACGTCCTGCTCGATCCCTAGACGAGCGGTACCTGGGGGAGAAAAGCAAATATTTTATTTATTTATTTATTAACTTCCCGTAGGGTAAGTTATTGTAATGGGCCGAAAATCGAAATTGAAAATTATTACATTTCTCGATATTTTGAAGGTTTCTGAACATTTTGGCATACCTCAGAAAAAATGGATGTGTGTGTGTGTGTGTGTGTGTATGTATGTATGGATACAAATTTCAAGTCACGTTTTCGGGTGCACGGATCAACCGATTTGAATGGTTCAAAAAACATTCGATTCCTATTGATAGGGAAAAGAGCTGATTAGTTTTTGGCAAAGGCAGGTCCAGCCGTTTTGGGGATTTGGAGCAAAGAGTGCAGAAAATAGAAATCGAGTTTTTGAGTGAACGGAGCATCCGATTTGATCTAAAAAAACATTCAATTAGTAATGATTGGGAGAAGTGATTATTAGTTTTCGGCAATGGCAGGCCCAGCCATTTTGAAGATACAGAGCTAAATGTGCAAAAATGGCAGTTTTTGAGAAAACTAAGCGTCCAATTTAAATGATTCAAAGAACTTTCAGCTTGTTTTAACAAAATAATTGCTTTTAGAAATATAAAGAAATATTAGAAATTGTTTCAAATTTTTTATTTCAATTTTTTTTTCATTTTTTTGTATGTCGAAAATAATTCAGATTTTAATTTTAATTATAACTAAAGTTCTAATATACTGTAAACAAATAATTTCAACTTTGCAATTCAGTTTATATAATTCATATAAATATTAGACAATGTTACAATATTTGTAATAATCTATTTGAAAACATTCAATATTCCTCGAACATTTCGTTAATGTACGGGAAGTTCCAGCAATTTGCATTAAAGCACGATGCCATATACGACTAGTTATTTTTTTGACAGTAGATACCATAGTCTCATAGATCATACTAAAATATTACTGCCCTACGACAAGTCGTTTGACTTTAAAAATTCGTCAAAGTTTACAGAAATTGGTGTCGTTTTTTTGGAATTCGTCAAAATTAGACTTTTCGTCGACGTTTGCTCAAAAACGCCTGAACCGATTTCAGAAATTTAAAAGCCATTTGATTTATCTCGATGAGGATTATCGTTTCTCAATTTTTTGCGACAATCGCCCAAGCCGTTTTTTTGTAATTTGGAAAAAAGTCTTAAACTTCTCGTCCACATTTAAGCTGATACTACCGAATCGATTTTAAAAAATCAAAAACTGTTCGAAAGATATTAGTTGGGAATAGTACTGATTAGTTTTAGGTGAAAATTTCTTGTAATTAACTGCTGAAAATAGATTTAAGCCAATTTTTAGGGAACTTTTTTTGGCGATATATATCATAGTGTTACAGAACTTACTGAAATATTACACCCTCACAACGAGTAGTTTAATTTTAAAAATTCATCAAAGTTTGAGAAAGTGACTTGTTTTTTGACGTTTGTTGAAATTAAAATTAGACAATTCACTTGGTTTAACGATAGAGTACTTGGTAGTAATGAACATACTAAACCATTAAAGTCCTACGGAAACTGGTTCCATTATAAAAATTATTGATTTTTGAAAATTTGCTTTTAGAAAATACTCCGAGTCACGAGTAGAGAATACACGTCAAGTGTTCGTTCGTTTTCAATCATAAGTAATAAATCCACTCGGAATACTTATAATCACTCATAAATGAATTTAATTTTTTATTGATCAAGTCGATTATTTACACATATCGGAAAGTGCATATAACTTCAACCTCAAGGCAAAATACCAATACCAACTAGTGTCTTTTTCACTTACATTTCGTACAGACGGGATCTGTACGACCTTCCGCCTGCAGACGCTCTGCTGATCTTTGGCCGCTTTCTTCTATCTTTTACTAGAGACCTCTTCTATACCCTGATATGCCTTTAACCCGGTTTGGTGTCGCTCGCGTGAGGCATAACGCGACATCAAATCAATTTTGGCCGCAGAACGCTCGCCCGAACCACCGGGCGGCGAGCTCTCTAGGGCCGAATATAAAGGTCTCGAACCTCTGACACCTGCAAAATAATAATAAGGGATAATTAATTATGTTGATTAGTTCAAATGCTTTAGGATTGTTTTAACCAAAGAGGGGTAACACATGAACCGGAATTTTGGTCGAAATAAAATTATTTTAACTTCAGCTTTCACTGTAACAGTATTATGCTCTATTTTTGTAACTAGAGATGGCTTATCATATCCAAAGCCGATCGGCTAGGATTTGACTCCGCTTTAGAGAGGAGTTATGTCCACTTAACAACTCCGACAACTTTGAAACATAATACTGGACACAAATGCGTTTTCTAGTGTATTGTTAACATATCTAAAGATTTATTAAGCCTTTGGAAATAGTTCACAAATAGTTCAAACATATTTGTTCATTTTATTATGATAATTACTATTTGATGCATTTCAGTATGCATACAAATCTCAAATTGACAAAAAACTTGGGAATCAAACTCAATTTTGTAATTATTTTTGAAGAGAAAATATATAATTCTTTGAATATGCTTATTTTTATATGAAAATAATGCTGTGAACTTTATATATGAAACTAGCAAAACCGACGAACTTCGTTTCTCCACCAGATGGTTTCGTGAAAAAGATGAAGAAATTTTATGTTTGTTTTATATTTGAAAAGGAAAAATTTGATTTTATTACACAACAGTAATGAATTTATTTCGATTACAAAAATGAAGTGTTTTTTAGTTGAACTTCTCTAAGTAAATGAAAGTGAATCCGCAAATTATCCGTTTCATTGAAGTGCTCTTTTGTAAACCACATTTTTTGTTTTTTGGTCTGACGTTAACACAAACAAAGCGGATGGTTTCCCAACTCGTGAACAGGCAACGTATAACTGCCCATGTGAAAAACAATGATTTTCTAAATAATCTATTTGAAATTTATCCCGCAAACACTAAGCGATTGGCCTTGCATCTTGTTATTGCAAACGCAAGGCGAACTGGAAATTGCAATCGTTTGAAGTCAAACGGAAGACCAGTCGGAATCATTGGTATGTCACCAAATCGCCAGCAATTTTTGATTGAATGGTGAAATTCAATGCGTGTACATCATTATTCTTTGCGACAAGAATTGCTCGTTGAATTAACCAAGCATAATTCTGATAATTCTCACTAATGTCATTGCAATTTGCATTGAGGCACGATGCCATGCACCACTAATTTTCTTAGCTATAAACCTTGCGGAGCCCGAGACCTTTCTAACAAAATTGTCGAAATCGGTTTGCGCGTTCTGGAGTTAAATCGTCAGGAAGGAAAACCCGACTTATTTTTATATATATGTAGATAAGAACAAATCTTTATGTGTATAATATTTTTCACAGAATAATATCTCACATTCTTTTATTATTTCTTTTTCGAGAATTAATTATATATCAGGTGATTTGATTAGCATACTATTACTTTTACACAATTATAAAATCATAATTGTGTAAAAGTTATAATACTAAATATTTTTATTTATTTTTGTGTACCATCGAAAGAGCTCATTTACGGTCAAAAATTATCGTATACAGAATATGGAATAAGAAATAGCATTATTTTGAGACATTGTATACCTGGAAAGTCCTAAAACTGGCTGTGAGACAAAAAAACAACTTCTTTGTATTAGTAAAAAATCTCTAGCAAATATCTGCACATGTTAACAGATTTAGTATCAGTTTAGGGAAGTCGGATATGACAAATCCTGTGAGACAACTCCACTTGGATTTAATCCGAAGGAGAAGTTGTATCGGAGTGATATCTCCGGAGTGAGTAAACCATCTCTACTTGTAACTAATATTAGTGCCGCACTTTGTAGTTTGGCCAATATATTAATAATGTTAATTGCAGTGCACAAACGAACAGTTTGCCCACATTATACTTTTTCATTATTTTTACCTCTACTTCTATCTCTCCTAAATCTGCTTCTTTGCCAGTTTTGACATTAGGAATTCCGAGATATGTATCCAACCTCGTTTCTGGATTTATCTGTACTGACGGATAACTGTTAATTTTGAACTTGTGCCTGATGAAAAATGTTTTGTAGATTTATTGAATTACGTCATTGCTTTTTTGATTTATTTTGATTTATGAAAAATTTTTGATGTGACAGTAAAATAAAGGCCGACCGGATTTTCAACTGTTTATTTTTAATCGACATGTTGAAAGATTTGATAATGAAAATGATTTTTGCGTTAGTATTATGTAAGTTTATTGCACCTTTTACGTTTTTGCGATTGTTGAGGGTGCAGGATATATGATGGTAATATGAAACTAGTGGTGTGTGGCATCGTGCCCTGAGGCAAATTGCTGGAACTTTCTGTATCGTAACGTAACGTTCGAGAAATATTAAATGTTTATAAATAGATTATTATAAATACTTTAACATTGTCTTATATTTATTAGAATTAAATAAACTGAATTGCAAAGTTGAAAATATTTGTTTAAAGTATATTAGAACAGAATTAAAATTAAACTCTGAATTATTATTGATATACAAAAAAAAATTGAGTCAATTTTTTTCCCCAAAAGCAATTGTTTTGTTGAAACAAACAGAAAGTTCTTTAAATCATTCGAAGTGGACGCTTAGTTCTCTCAAAAACTGCCATTTTTTATACTTTTAGCTCTGTATCTTTGAAATAGCTGGACCTGCCTTTGCCGAAAACTAATAACCACTTCTCAATGAAATTGGATGCTCCGTTCTCTCAAAAACTCGATTTCTATTTTCTGCACTCTTTGTTCTTTATCTCCGTAACGGCTGAAACTGCATTTGCCAAAAACTAATAACCACTTCTCTTGATCATTACAAATGGAATGTTTTTTAAATCATTCAAATCGGATGCTTAGTTCTCTCAAAAACAACAATTTTTTGCACATTTTGCTCGGTATCTTCGAAATGGCTAGACCTGCTTTTGCCAAAAACTAATTAGCACATCTCTTCATCAATAGAAATCGAATGTTATTTGAACCATTCAAATCGGTTGATCAGTGCGCCCGAAAACGTGAACGAAAAAATGCGGACACACAAAACACACACACACACATACACACACATCCATTTTTTTCTGAGGTATGCCAAAATGTTCAGAAACCTTCAAAACGTGGAGAAATGTAAAAAATTTCAATTTCGATTTTTGAACGATTACAATAACCTGCGGCAAGTTAATAAAATTCTGTCCAAAAGCAATTGTTTTGTCAATATAAGCAGAAAGTCTTTTGAATCATTCAAATCGGTTGCTTAGTTATATCAAAAACTGACATTTTTAGTACAATCAGCTCATCTTCGAAATGGCTTGACCTGCATTTGCCAAAAGCTAAGCATCTCTTCTCCCAATCATTACAAATTGAATGTTTTTTGGATCATTCAAATCGGATACTCTCAGAAACTCGAGTTCTATTTTTTGCACCCTCAAAGATTCTAGTTTTCTACTTTTTATAATATATAAGTTGTTTTCTAACTTCCAGAAGATGTTTACATTCTAGCCTTTCACACAAACAATTAAAAAATATATAAAAAAATAAAGCACATTATATTTCTTAAACAATTTTCATTCACGACAATATGACTTCCAAACGCATCACTAACAAAAAATTTAAAACAAATTTTCAGACTGAATTCTAAACTAAATCATCATAATATTCCTGTCGCCATCTATTTCTTTTTCTCGTCACTTTATCATTTCTCAGTCGCCTTCGCCTTCTTCATAATATTCCAGTTCTTCATCAATCAATGAAGAAATAGTCGCGGATTCATTGCTGCATTTAGGCTTAACTTTAGTTTTATTCGAATATTCTTTATTTTGCTGCTCCTTGACACTGGCGGCGTATGCTCTTTCGCGCCTTTCCAGCTGCTCCAACTGCTCCAGTTGGTGGTTGTCATGGTAACGAGATGCACGGCTGTGTTTTTGGTCATGATGCTAGTAATTGATAAATGAATAAATGATAGTATTTTTAAGATTAAGATTTTTAGAATATTAGATAGTATATTTAATATATTATATTTAATTGTGCCATTTTGGTAGTAATACATTTGAATTACTCACAGAATGATGATCCTTTTCTCTGGAGTGTCGTTCTCTAGTATCTCGGTCTCTGTCCCTCTCACGTCCTCTCTCTCTTTCTCTACCTCTTTCTTTTTTTCTTTTGTCTCTCTCACGTTCTTTTTCTCTATCATGTTGACTTGGTTTTGATGCTGTATGTTTGGTATGAACCACTTCCGACTATGGAAATAAATAATTAAAGAAAATTATTAAAAAAATAGTTCCCTATTCGTATACACGATCAACTTAATCATTAAGATTTAAGGTGGTATTCTAGTGTAGAAATAAAAATAAAATTGTTTTTTTTATTTCATATTTTCAATGTTTAACTATTTAAGAATATGGGTACGAGAAGGTTTTTGAAAATTTGAATTATTTTCGGAGATATAGGCATTTCACTGACTCGGTCTCCAAACTGGTTTGGCAGGGTCTAATCGGACAAAAAGCATTAGGAAGTCATTAGACCAACTTAAGACAGTTTGTCGTCAAATGAATTATTAATTCGATTTGTATAGGTTCAGAAACTCAAAACCGTAATGAGTCTCTGAACTCGTTGATTTGGATTTTCCCGCCAAAACATATTCATTCCCGATCTGGGGTATTTGAAAAGCAACATTTATCGCTGTTTGCATATGCAATAAAAGGTTTCTTTCCGATTTTAAAAATGATCACCCTTATGGTAATGCAAATTGGGCCTGAAACTCATTCATTTGCTGTAAGACAAGACAATGCCCGGATTGAACGATCTGAAATACGTACATCCAAAGCTTCAAAGGAGGCTAGAACTGCTCGATATGAGGAGAGAAATGCAGAAAATAGTTTTTTTGAAGTAGAAGAATGTCCGATGCATGAAGCAGAAATAGCAGATTAAATAAAAGAAGTATAACATTTCATTTTATGACTTTGACAGCAAAAAACTTCACGCAAAACTTTAAATGCGTTTTTCTCAGAACAGACTTTTTCAGTACTGTTGACACGATTTCTCGAGTTCTACTCGAACGATTCACTTGAAATATTCAGAGAGTTTTGTTTATAGACCGATCTATAGCCCAAACTAGCATCATCCCCAAATTCCAATTTTTACTATATTTAAAAAAAATTGAGAAACTAAAAAAACAGTAAAAAAACACTTTTTCTTCAAACAGTCGCCAAATTGTAAAAAAAAATATTTTTTTACTCATCGCTAGTTCGGGCGATTGCGACGTTATTGTAGATTAATAATCTTTTTATTTTTTTAATTCGGATGGCTAAGAGGGCTGAAATTATGTCAAGACTGAGGTGCCAATTGTTAGAGACCCCCACTTCATCAGCTGCCAGTTTCTTCAATTTTCAATTTTTTTTTAATTTCTGTATTGTATTTTAATAATATTAATAAACAAGTGGTAAAAAAATGGATAGTAAAAACATTCATTGCTTTCTTTCACGACACTTTAAAAATGACCTGAAATTCATCGCTCTACACCAGAAAACCCCCTTAAGATTAATCTATTATTACCTGATATTTCTCCTTTGCCCTACGATTGTTTTTCTCCTGCTTAGCAGCTGCATTTTGTCGTTGCTGCTCACGTCTGCTTACTGCAGCAGTATCGCCACTTTTTCCTGCAGCGACTGCCGCCACAGCGGCTGCTGCTGCAGCAGCTCTCGAACCGGCAAAGTTTGCCATATATTCGGTTACGTAAGGGTCGTAAGTCGAGGCTTGGGCTCTTTCCAGAGCCTCTCTGCGCCGGCTGTAGAACGGAGCTTTTTCCGAAGAGGTCGTTCGAGAGGCTCCACGAGGATGGTTCTTGTATTCGTCATTCTGGAATGATAAATGAACTATTGATTATAAGACTGAGGTTCCTCAAGTCGTACCAGTGATAATGACAAAATTATTACTAGTGGTGTATGGCATCGTGCCTTAAGGCAAATTGCTGGAACTTCCCGGACCGTAATGAAATATTCGAGAAATTTTAAACGTTTTCAAATATATTATTACAAATATTGTAACTTTCATTATTTTTGCTATCTTGTTATATCTGAGCAAATCAAATGTAAATCATAAATAAATCAATTTATATCCAGAATATTAACAAACGTCATTTCATTTGGAATTCAATTTCAAAAAAATAGTTGCCTAATTTACACAAAATTTAATTGAAAAAGTGCTCCCGTATAGTCAAAGTCTAAACGCATTTGCAAATAATTTTGTGCGACATGTTCACTCATACTGGGCTTAGCTTGGCGGCATTTTCGCATTTTTCAATAGTTTTCACAAAATTGGATAAGTGCTCTGGTATAGTCACAGTCTAAACCCATTTGCAAATAATTCTGTGCGACATTTTTACTTATACTGTGCTTAGCTTGGCGGCATTTTCACATTTTTCAATAGTTTTCACAAAATTTGAAAAGTGCTTCCCCAGTATAGTCACAGTTTAAACGCATTTGCAAATAATTTTGTGCGACATTTCCACTTATACTGTGTTTAGCTTGGCGGCATTTCCACATTTTTCAATTGTTTTCACAAAATTGGAAAAGTGCTCTGGTATAGTCACAGTCTAAACGCATTTGCCAATAATTCTGTGCGACATTTTCACTTTTACTGTGCTTAGCTTGGCGGCATTTTCACATTTTTCAATAGTTTTCACAAAATTGGAAAAGTGCATAAACAGTCTAAACGCACTTGGGTAAACATTTGTACCAGACCAGGCGCTTAGACTGTGCTTAGCCTGGGTAATTTTTTGAATTTTTAATCCAAAATTACAAAAATATTTTCTAGAAAATAAAAAAAAGGTGTAATGTTTTTTTATCTTCAAAAGCAATTGTTTTGTCAATACAAGCAGAAAGTTTTTTAGATCATTCAAATCAGACGCTTAGTTCACTCAAAAACTGCCATTTTTTGCACATTTAGGTCTGCATCTTCGAAATGGCGGGACCTGTCTTTGCCAAAAACTAATCACCTCTTCTCCCAATCATTACAAATTGAATGCTTTTAAGATCATTCAAATCTGGTACTCCGTTCTCTCAAAAACTCGATTTCTATTTTCCGCACTCTTTGCTCTGTATCTTCGAAACGGCTGGACCTGACTTTGCCAAAAACTAATCAGCACTTATCGAATATTTTTTGAACCATTCAAATCGGTTGATCCAAATTGGATACAATTTACGCGCCCGAAAACGTGGACGAAAAAATGCCGAGATACAAAACACACACACACATCCATTTTTTCTGATGTATGCCAAAATGTTCAGAAATTTCTGAACGCCGAGAAATGCCGAGAAATGCAAAAATTTTCATTTACGATTTTCGGCCCATTACTATAACTATCCTACGGGAAGTTAATAATTATTTCCTAATTTTACAATTGGAAAGCTGGACGCCTTTGTGAGCATAAAGTACTGGGTTTTTGAATTGTAGTACAAACTACTCAAATTTTCCTTACTTTGCTGACTCCGACCTGGTCACCAATCCAAACATCAGCCTCTTTCGTGATATGGTCAGCTTTACTGCGAGTTCCTCTTTTCGGTTTATCAGTTTCAGTAATTTCGTACCGCCCCGGATCCTTCAATTGGACAAGATGATCAACATATTAAAAAAAATATAGTAAACAGTATTCATACTTTGATTTGTCTTCTGAGTTCTGCAGATTGTATGTAGTGTAGTCCTGTTGGCCGTTCATCTATATTTAACCGATCTGCACCGCGGATACCACCTCTTCCTTTGAGGAAATCTCGAAGAAAACCTTGATCTGTTGAACGACATTGGGTAGGATTGTGACGTCTTGGTTCGTTTAACTAAAAAAATAGTTAAAGACACATTAGATAGTAAAACCATAACAATGGCAACAAACACGTCATCTACTTGTTTACCCTAGAAGACTTAAGTCATATGCTCATATTTCCTTCTATATTTATTATTTTTACCTTTTCCGAGTAGTATGGCACTTTTTGTCGAAGCTCTTCCTCCCGCAATCTGTTTCTTCCGCGTTGGCTCAGCATTTCTCCTCCGATTTAATTTTTTTTGGGTAACGGCACCACAATCGCGTCCTGTTTTGCATAGTTCAAAATTGCACACAAAATTTTGAGTATATTTCAAAATTGTAATAAAAAAATTCCAAAATATGCAACCAAATTTTGACAGCGGCCGTTTGCGCGCCGCCTAGATTCTGAAACGAGGCTCTCGAGGGCGAATGATTTTGTTTTGGAAATGATTTAATTAACTTCCCGTAGGGTAGTTATAGTACTGGGCCGAAAATTAAGAAAATGTTGTTTATTTTTCTCGACGTTTTGATAGATTCTGAACACTTTGGCATACCTCAGAAAAAATGGATGTGTGTGTGCTTTGTATGTCCGCATTTTTTCGTCCACGTTTTCGGGCGCACGGATCAACCGATTTGAATGGTTTAAAAAACATTCGATCCCTATTGATAAGGAGATGTGCTGATTAGATTTTGGGAAAGGTAGGTCCAGCCGTTACATAGATAAGGAGCAAAGAGTGCAAAAAATAGAAATCGAGTTTTTGAGATAACGGAGTATCGGATTTGAATAATCTGAAAAACATTCAATTTGTAATAATTGGGTGAAGAGGTGATTAGTTTTTGGCAAAGACAGGTCCCGCCACTTCGAAGATACAGAGCTAAATGTGCAAAAAATGGCAGTTTTTTAGTGAACTAAGCGTCCGATTTGAATGATCTAAAAAACTTTCTGCTTGTATTGACAAAACAATTGCTTTTGTGGATAAAAAATTATTACATCTTTTCTTATTTTCCATAAAATATTTTTGTAATTTTGGATTAAAAATTCAAAAAATTACTCAGGCTAAGCACAGTCTAAGCGCCACTCTGGTACAAATGTTTACTGAAGTGCGTTTAGACTGGAGCGCTTTTCCAATTTTGTGAAAACTATTGAAAAATGTAAAAATGCCGCCAAGCTAAGCGCAGTATAAGTGAAAATGTCGCACAGAATTATTTGCAAATGCGTTTAGACTGTGACTAGCACTTTTTCAATTTTGTGTAAATTAGGCAACTATTTAGTTCTGGAGATAAATTGATTTATGATTTACATTTGATTTGCTCAGATATAACAAGAAAGCAAAAATAATGAAAGTTACAGTATTTGTAATAATATATTTGAAAACGTTTGAAATTTCTCGAATTAATTAATTCATTACGGTACGGAAAGTTCCAGCAATTTGCCTTAAGGCACGATGTTATACACCACTAGTTTTTTTGTTGCTTCACAAATATGATAATAGTGGCATTTTTACTTAAGGCAAGTTGCATGAACTTCTTCATTCTGAAAATAAAGTTAACGCTTTCACCAAAAATTACCAATTTTCAAATAAAAACAACGCCATTGGTTACATATATATATTTTTTAAAAACAATGTCAATGTTTCATAGTACTCATTATTGAATTAAAGACGATTATACTTTTTCATAACAATTTTATTACTGAATTTGCGAAAAAATCATCTACTTGAGGATCTACGTTTTTTCCATCTCTTGTAACTTTCTGGATCGTATTTTGGTTTCTTGGTTTCTTTTCCATTGTTTTGTGATGCTTCTGAAAATAAATAAAATTAGTAATAATAATTTCTGGTAATAAAGAAATATTTATTGCTACTTTTGACGTCAGCACTAAGGCGTTCGCTTCTAGATGTTTTGCAGGATAATAATGATTTTTTTAAGTCTGGTGCATAGTGCTCGCTCAAGGTATCAAAATTGATGGTCCTGATTTCTTTTTCAATACTTCTTAGTTCCCAACGCACTCTTGATAATTGTGCCTAGGAAAAAAATATAGATTTATAATAAAACTACTGAAAATCTACAATGAGATGAGTGGGAATGCTTCCTCGGTATAATTTTTAAAAAACATGGTCACTTCTATAGTAAATTATATATATTTTTGTCTCGTCAATTTATGGACTGGAATTTGTTTGTTTTTTATTTACCCAGATATCATTTGCTTCATTTGTATTATTCCTAACGCTCCCTACTGTTGACGTGTCATCACTCAGAAGTAAATTTCTTAAGGAGTCATCAATATCAATTTTGTTGGGTGTCTTATTGTCATTCTTGATGGCAGTCCTTTTGCATATGCATAGTTCTTTCCTGTAAAATAAATAAATAAATAAGAACCTAAAAAGCTTGCAATTTCAATTACTCTTTATACCTGCATTTGGTACAATTGGCTTCTGGTTCTTTTAATTTTAAGTCCTTAGAAGTGGTTGCTACAGATGAAACCGAAGTCGAGCCTACATTTTTTTTATCTTGTCCTCCAGATAACGACATAATTTGTGCATTCGTTTTTGCTTTGAATAGGCACGTTGAACAATCCGTAATCATGGTACTGGATTCATCAGCAGTATCTAAATAAGTTTTATTAATTAGAAAAATATAATAGCAATGATTTCTTTTTTTAACTTTTTTGCTACTAGCGTCTATTTGCTACTTGACTACCTATGTGTACGTGTGTCGTCTATAGACGACACTAGTAGGTCGAATTTTCCTTTGAAATGTATTACTGTACGTTTAATTAGTACATTGTCTATGTCGTTATTGTAATTTTTATTATTCTAGAAGTGTAATTTCTAAATAAAATGAGGATTGAAACAAATATTCGCTCCTGTGGAAAACACTGTCATAGAACTTTTCATTATCGTTGAATTTTTTTTTAATTGCAATATTTATTTCAACTGTTAAATAATTTAACATCTAGTAACAATGACGAACAATAACATAAATTTAAATAAAAAGAGTACGAAATAAACGATAGTATTTTCATTAAAATGATATCCGTAGTATGATGATTTAATATAATATAAAAGCAAATAATAATAATAATAAAATTAATAAATAACATAAATTAAATTTCTGAATAATAAAAATAATACTAGAAAAGTTATAAGTTATATCGTTAAAATTATGCACGGATAATGAATTTTCAAAAAATTGGATTTATATTAAATATCAAATTATTTAATTCAGTTACCACTTTGCTCAGAAGAGAAGAAATCCTTACCGCCTGGTAGATAATTAGCTTGCCTGCAATCTAATAGAAAAATAAATTTATTAATAATATATTTTGCAATTAAAAAAACTTATTTGCGTAAAATTTACCTCTTGAAAAGGATGTAGAAGGTTTGTTCATCCAGTCATCAGAGCACCTATAAAAAAGAGAAAAAACTGTTTATCTTTGTTGCATGTTTTTGTAATAAACAGTATAGTCACTTTATAAATTAGAGACAAACTATAACTATTCTTCGGTTATTGTGGTTAATTTTCAAAATTTTTGGTTGTTCAATCTTTGGAACCGTAACTATAAATAACATTTTTCGGACCACAGAGAAATTTAGGGACACAATCAGTCCAAGTTTTCTAGCTTTATTATATTTTTATTTGTTCTATTTATTCATAAGCAAGCCGTAATCAATAATAATAGATATTATTTCAGGCTCTTGTCAAGCTTATTCATAATTAATATTAAAAAGATAGTAATTTTATAATAATCATAGTAGCTGCACGAATTTCGCCTCTGAAAAAAAGAGCCTAAAAAAAGCATTCGAACATTAAATACGATGTTCATCATCAAGTTCATCATATTAAAGTCTATTAGACCACGAGTCGAGCTCAAAATTCTTGCACAAGATTGAAAGTTATACTCATTTAAAACCGTAAAAATTTAAATTAATAAAATAACAATAAAAAAACATGGTTGTTCAGACGATCAAATGGTCAGACTACATAGATAAAGCATAAGGGTTATGCAAGAAAATAGTTATTGAAATGAAATTGAGAAAATTCAGTAATGTCATAAAAAGCTAATTCTTTAAAAAGTTAACTAGGAAAGCATTAATTTTTTTGCTGTCTAAGTTTCGGATATTGAGTGGAAGTTTATTCATAAGCCTAATACCTAAACCGTCGATCGTATTGAAAGAGCTGGCTAATTTATATGTGCGCGCCTTAATAAGTTTGTGTCTAGTGTTGTAGTTTGAGCAAGACGAAACCATATCAAAAAGTTTCAAATTGTTTTTGATAAATATACTGTTACCAGCAGAAAAATGCATGGGACAGTTAGAATATTGTGTTTTTTAAATATGGGTCTGCAGGAGGCTTTACTGGACAAGGAAAAAAATTCGAACAGCTCTTTTCTGAAGCTTAAATATTTTAATTAGTTTGGATGAAAAACCCCAGAATTAGATGCCGTATGAAACGAGAGAATAAATGTTGCTATAATAAACTGAAAGTAGGCAAATTAAACCGAGTTTGGGTTTTAGGGTGCGCAACATAATTGAGCATGTGAATTCAAAATATTGATAATGTATCGATTTTGAAAGGCTATTTCTCAAAAAAGTGCCCTAAAGTGCCTTGGAAAATGCCATTATTAGTTTGCGCATTTAATGAGGTTTGTAAAATGGTGCCACACTTCATAATTTCATACGAGAAAAAAATATGAACCTCAAGTATCACAATTTTGTAAGTATCATCTATTTACTTACACGCATGGTACATGCACACATTTCGAACAAGCCTCAATCCTCGGCATAACAGCAATCGCATCGCACTGACATTGAGGTTTTAGGCAAAAAGCGCACACGGTCGTAGTATCTTTCTTGGGTTTTTTCTTCAACAGTTGCTTCTTTTTGTCTGCCGATTTGTTGAAACATCTGCAGAAACGTTGCTGACAAATTGCACACGGTGTACGTGAAGAAGACCTTGAAGATGAGCTGATGATGTTTTTGATGAATTTGGGAGTCAAGTCGCCGCTTGATTTTTTACGACAGGTCTTCTTGTAGCATTGGCAGTAGTATTGGCCGCAACCGTTGCAGACGTCTTTTACGATAAACCTGGATATAAAATGATATAAATAACTAGTTGGTATTGGTATTTTGTCTTGAGGCAAGTTACATGAACTTCCCGATATGTGCAAACAATCGACTTAATCAATAAAAAATAAATTAATTTATGAGTCATTAAAAGTATTTCGAGTGGATTTAT